GAAACAGCAGGACAGGACGAGGGTGGCCTCGTGCTTCAGCGCTGCCCACGCTCTGGAGCCTGGGGTTCAGTTCAGAGCACTGCAGGAAGAGAGGAAGAAAGAAAGGCAAGAGAGAGGATGGAGCGGAGGGCGGGTGAGAGCTTGACAGTGACGACCCCAGGGGACAGCAGCAGCTCCATGTGCTCTGTGAGCGGTGCTCTGTAGGGAGCGGGGAGCATCCCTGTGAGTAGGCATGGGGTGCTTGTCATGGCCTTGGGCTGGTGCATCCAGGGTGCAGAGGCTATCAAGGCTGAGCCCAGGGCGGTGGGGAGGGCAGCAGGGGATCCTCAAAGGCCTGGCGGGGCAGAGTGCAGCGTGTGCTGTGGAGTGGTTTGCATGCCTGGCCTCGCACCCAGAGGCTGCTCTCGTACAGCACCAGAGTGCATGGTGTCCTAAGCGCCACGCTGAGGTCTTCATGCTCCAATCGAACAGGCAATAAGTGGGTGCTTTCACGTGAGACACAGAGTCTCACTGGAGCCAAGCAGGCTTTGACCTCACGATCCTCCCCTTCAGCTGCAGCCCTGGGGTCATGAGCCATAAGCCCAGCCTGCTGGGCTCAGTGTTCAAATAGGGAAACGGTGTGGCTAAGCCCAGGCGTCAGAGGCCCGCACCAACGAGGTCTGCTCCGGGACAGTGTTGCCAAGTCAGACTCACTCCGAGTCACATTCATTCCCAAATCCGACAAAGTGAGTCCTACACTGCACAAGCCACACACTTCCTCACTCAGGGGCTTTCTATGCTGTTAGCTTCGGCCGTGAGATGAGCCGGTACCAGAAGCTGGGTGTTTGTGTCCAGAACATAGAAGTCAAAGTAACGCCGTAAACGGCAGTGCGCATGGTCACTGTGTACTTGACATCAATCGCCATGTCTGGCATCACCAAGGCCCCCCAGAAGCTCATAGGTTGAGGGGGGTCCCCGCAGGGCTGCTGGAGGTGGTACTTTGAGCCAGAGGGGCCCAGGGCAGGTCCCTGGGGCTTGCTATTGGTGCTGGGACTCCAGCTCTTCCTCTCTCTTCCTGCTTCTCGCTCGCCACGAGGCAGACAGCTTTGATGCTGTGCCCCACCATGGACCCAGGCACATGGCCTGAACTGTCAGACACCACGAGCTCAGTTAAACCTGGTGTCCTTTAAGCCGACCTATCTCAGTTGTGCTACAGCAAGGGAAATCTGGCAAAGACAGAAACACCATTCCTTGGTTTGAAGGTAGGCGGTAGCATGTGAAAAGATGAGTGTCAGGGATAGAATTCTGTGGAATACCAGTGGGGAAGGAGCCAAAAGAACGATAGCTGCCTGCAAACAAAATCTGGATAAACTACCTAAGAACAGAGAAGATAGAGACAGGGAGTGGGGGAGAGGTGTGGAGAAGCCCATACAGAAAGCTTTGCCTGGAGGAGGACGCTGCCAACAATGCCAAGTGCCTTTGGACAGTCCTGTTAGAAAGTCTGAAAGCAGAAAATGGGACCCAGAAGATACAAAGCAATTGCATCTCGCCTTTTTGAATGATGTGAACTGTGATTACTGCACTGAAGGCCTAACAATCACGACAAAGGTGTGGGAAAGTCCTGTGCTCAAGGGGTCAATGTCCACAAGGTGCTCTCCTGATGTCCTGGGAGTCTCTGAAGGGCCTGCCTGCCTTCCTCTTTCCTTCTCCTGTTATTTAGTTGAAGGGCCACGGAGGCAGCCATCTGCTCCAGAGCAGGGCTGAGAGCCATGTGGCCAGGGGCCACAAGGGCTGGGGTGGACCTCAGAGGTGGGTACACGTGGGGCAGCGGAGATGGGGTAAACCCTCAAGATTAATCAGAGACAGGAAGGTGGACCAAAAAAACTGAGCTGAACAACACAGGCATTGGGCTGGTCACTGGAGTAGAGGAGATAAACACATGCAGAAAGGCAGAAAGAGAGAAGGGGCCCGACACATAGTTCTCTGACACCCACAATTGCTTAGCACCCAGAACTTGGCTTCTAAATCCGATTCTCCACTGAGAGGAACCAGCATTCCTTCAAGACATGCACTGCTTGGCGTGATGGGCTGATCAGAGGGACGCGGGCAGCCGGCAGGGCCCTCCTGCCAAGGCTGGGACAAGCGGGCTCCACACACACTTGGCCAGTGCTGGGTCGCGGCCCAGTGAAGCAGACAGAACCACGGGCTGAACTGGAAGCAGAAATCTTTGGTGCAGACTGAGAGAGCTACAGCATTTCCACAGTATTTCCCCAAAAGATACTAACGGGAAAAGTGGCTTTACAAAGGAGATACCTTCCGGGCCGCTGCCACATCTTGTACCCTAACAAAGCATCACCAAGTTGTGACAAGTCAAAACTCTGCCACGCTGTTATTTCTACCCAAAGAGGCACAAATTGAATCACATCAAGAGGAAACATAAGATAAACTCAAACTGAGGAAAAATCTATAAAATAGCTGCTGTTTTCCAAAAGCATCAGGCTGTGTGCGAGTCACAGGAAGACTGAGAACCTGTTCCAGAAAGACAGCTGCCAGAAAGATGGGAACTAAATGTAACATGGAATTCTGAACTGGGCTTGAGTCGGCTGCACTGTCCTTTTACTTTTTCTCTTTGGTGGAACTGGGCATTGAACTCAGGCCCTTGCGCTTGCCAGGCAAGTGCTTATTCTACTGAGCCATCTCCCCGGCCCTGCACTGTCCTTTTAAAAATACTTGTATCTGTGTGGTGCTGGGGGTACCACACACACGCGTGGCCACCAAGCCGCCTCTCCAGCCTTGACGTGTCCAATTATGAAGTAGGGGAGAGATGGTGGAGTTAGAAATATGAATTAACTGCAGTAGTTTCTAGAAAATAAGTCAGATCTAAAGTATCATAGAAAGAGAAGTCACTGCCTCACAGGAATAAGTAAAGTCTTCACAGAAAAGTTCACATGTGTGTGAGTGCATGTGTGTTTTCTGGGATGGACCCCAAGGCCTCTCCCATGCCAGGCAAGCGCTCTCCTACTAAACTGCACCCCCAACCCAAAGCTGGGGGCTGAAGACTGCCTGTGGGTGCAGGGCGCCAGGAAAGGGGAGCCGAGAGAGCCACGGGCTGAAGGAAGGACACACATGCAGCAGCAGTTCTGGCAAAGTGAAGGCTGAGGGCGCCATGGAAGTCTGTGTGTGTCCCAGGGTAGGGATGGGCTGAGGACAGCAACCCCAGAGGGCCCAGTGTGGCAGGATCACTGAGTAAGACAAGACAGAGGCCCACAGCCGCTGTCAGTGGCCCTGTGGCCGCAGTGGAGTGTGCCCCGGGCTCCAGGCTGCAGACCACAGGAGTGCACGGAGCACGGCAGCCGGGGTGCAGCGGCTCCCTCAATCTGTCCATGCATGCCTGTCCTTCCTACTGCCCTGCCCAGGTGTGCCAGGCTTGTTCTCCACTTCCTTATCCTGCTTCCTCACACTCCCTGCGCCCGTCAGCTGTGTGTGTCTGTCACCTGTCCTCCCCGCTGGCAACAAGCTCTGCACCAGTTTTGCCCCCTGTGGGCCTCCTGCCATGCCTGACATATGGCTGAAGCCTGTGTGCCCTTGAAAATTGGAGAGCCAGCCCTGCCACATGCCTGGGGCCCAGAACATGGTGCTGGTGTGTGGACCAGCGGCGCCTACAGGCTCACAGGCTGAGGTCTGGCCCCCAGCTGCGGCCCTACAGGAGGAGTCAGATACGGGGGGGGGGGGGGGGCTGTGGGACCCCAGGCTTCCTCTTGCTCTCTTTCTCATCCCACTGAGAGCGGTGACTTCCTCTGCCACATGCTGGCCTGAAGCAACAGGTTAACCTACTTCAGACAGGAATCTCTGAAATCATGAGCCAAAGTAGGTATTTCCCCGTATTTATCTGAGGTGCAGCGCGACCCGGTGCTCGAGCGTCACCCCTTCCACGATTCTGGTCTGGAGCTGAATCCAAGGTCCCCACAAGGTCAACACTGAACCTAGCGTTCAACTTGATGCATTTCTGCTCCAGTTTGGTCCCAGAATCATGGAAAGATTCACAAATCGAGGCACCACTGTGTTTGCTACAGTAACAGAAAGCTGACACCTGGGAACCCCTGAAAGGCTCTAGAGAGAAACTGTGTGGTCACCAGGACACTCCGGAAGCTCAGGCTGAAGGCTGTCCGGTGAGAAGTCCCTATAGGCACTTGAGCTGAGATGGGCAACTTAGCAGCTCATCGAGAGCCTGACAAAAAATAAAAATAAAAAGGGGCGGAGTGTGTCTCAGTTACTTTCTAGTGGCTGAGACATAACACCGGAATCCCGCGACCTTAAGGAGAAAATGTTTCTTTCGGCTCATGGTTTGTAGAGGCTTCAGTCCAGGGTCCTCTGGCTCCAAGGCTGGGCAGAATGGCACAGGGACACAGAGGAGGAGAAACGTCCATGGTGGGGTAGTGGGAAGCAGAGAGGATCAAGCGAGGAGGGAGAGCCAGACCCTTCAGGCCACCTCCCAGCGACCTCCTCCCCCACCAGGCTCCACTTCCTAAATCACATCAGCTAGAACCCATCGTGGGCACATCTGCTGATGAGTCCCACACCCCGGGACCCACTCACCTCTCCAAAGCCCCGTCTGTGACTGCATGAGGCTTGGGGACATCTGGATAGAAACCATAGTGGGGCAATAGCTCAGGGCAAAAGTCGTGGATTCAATTCCTGGTACGGAACAGTAACAACAACAACCACCACCACGGGGCAGCACGGCCCAGGAGCACGTTCGCAGAGCACGTTCCTCTCGCTCTAGGTCTGTGGGTGTGTGGCTCCCCTCCACCTCCAACAGCAGGGGCCCAGTGCTGCAGCGCTCAGAAGCTGCTCAGCACACTGGCTGACGGGTCAGCTCTTTGGTTCTCCAAGACACACTCACCAAGCTAGAAATCACCACAATTCATGTGAAAACAGACAAACTGTAATCACCTGAACACTGGAGACCTGGTTTTTCAACCTTTTCCATTTGAGAATCAACTAAACTGCTCCTGTTTCAGGCAGCCGAAGCCATCCATCCTGGACCAGCAGGGCAGATACAGCCGCGCCTTCCTGGCCTGGCATGTGGGCGACCATGAGGACACCCACCAGAGAGACTCTGAAGGGGCCGCTCTCGTCAGGCAGAGTAAATCTTCACCAAGAAAGGCCCAGCCCCCAAGGCTGCCAGCATTAGCAACGAAGGAAGAGGTAAGAGCTCTTGATGTTCTGAACCACCACAGACAGAAAGTCAGGCTTCGAGAGTTCGTAAACATGTCAGAGAATATTGTTTAACAGTAGTATTTACAGGCTAAGGAGACAGGTGGGTGGTCTAAGCACCTGCCTGACAAATGCAAGGTCTCTAGCTCGTGCCCAGTGCTGCATGCCGTGCTGCCCCAGAACCCCGGGCACCCATGCCAGAAACCAGGAGTCGTGGTGCACACCTGTAATCCCAGTGCTGGGGAGGCTCGGACAGGAGGATCACTAGGAGTCCCAACTGCATAGCAAGACCCTGTATCAAAAAAAAAAGGGGGGGGGCCAGCCAGATAGCTCAGTGGATTAAAGCGCCTGCTTAGGCAGACACATGGGGCGGATGTTCACTTGTCTGCCGGCTGTGCTGGCCCTGCCCCCGGGGTGCACCGAGAGGCTATTGAGACTGGGCGTGGTGGCGCACACCTATAATCCCAGCGCTTGGGAGGCTGAAAACAGGAGAAATACTGAGTCCAATCTGTGGAGTGAGACCCTGTAGACCCTGCACTAAATATAAAAATAAATAAAAATTAAAATTAAAAAATAAAAAACAGTAATATTTGCAGTCAGTTTTATAGCTCCTCTTTACCTACCAACCCATCTGTAACCCTTACTGGATTTCTGTAACAATGGTCATTCAGTGGGTCACTAAACATTATTCTCATTTTACAGTGAGGGAAAGCAAGAGGCTGTGAGGTCCAGGGCTTAGAATTTGGTCATCACACGGTTTAACCTGGGAGAACAGTGAGCTTGTAATTGCTAAAAGCTGAGAAAACAGTGGACGTCTATTACTCCCCCCAAAAAACCCTCACTCTGATTAACACTGTAAGAAAAATTGGCTCAAGTTTTAGTTTTCCCTTTTACTATCTATGACCTAAATATTGGGCAAATTGCATGATTTCCTTTAAATGTCTTTCTCTTGTGATGGCATAATAGTTTCTGCCCTGAGATTTTCGCAGTTACCGTTAGAACTGAGGAATGCGCACGTGCACATTCACCAATGATCTCCTGAGGCCTGTGCACAGATCGCTCGCTCCCCTGTGCTAGCCTTCCACGCGGCCCCGCAGCACAAGGCACCTTGGAGCCCTCTAAGCTTACCACTGAACTAGACAGCAAATTCCCATGACAGAAGAGGACGCAGAGTAGCCCGACATGCTCAGACTCGCCTCGCTCCCCTGAAGAATCGGGCCCACTTGTTAGACCACTACCCGTCACCTGGATCTGCCACCCCAACAGAGTGGCGTCTGTGGGCAGCCTCCTGTGGAAGCCCGGGGGCCCCTGTGGGCCCTCCTTGGTGGGCCCTGGCCCCGCCGCACGTTGTGTTGGAAAGGGGAGCCGGTGGACCCAATGTCCTGCGGTCTGCACGCCGGGACAGTGCTGACCAACACCTCATGGCAGTGTGTGGGGAAGGACGGTGCGCTAGTCCTGTCTGCTGAGGAACTCGTCCTGGGTAGGGTGGTGCCGTCACAGAGCGAAGGAGCAAGGCGTGTCTTCCCATCATTTACTAAGTCAAACGCTTGCTATTGGTTATTATTGCATTTAAAAAAAAATCTCTTTAAAACACGTATTCAAATAGCAAATAGCAAGAACTCAAGTACCCTGCCCAGCCAGTTGGTTGCTAATTTTATATGCTTCAATATTCTCCCTCCATGGACGAGTAACATTTGACCTAGATTGCAAACATGATGCTGGCTTATTGCTGAATATTTTAGGGTCTATTTCCTAAGTCCTCCTAGTGCCTGGATCCAGGGAGTCCTGAGGTCCCTCATCAGCATTCCCTCCTGTTTTTATTTTTTATTTTGCCACGTTGTCCAGGCTGGCTTCAAACTTATAACCTCGGCCTGCCCAAGCACTGGGATCACAGGCATATGCCACCACAGCTGGCTACAGTGCAATCTGAAAATCTGGGAGACTGACCACTGATACACCCTTGTTATCTAAAGCTTGTGATGTTTTGTCCACTGATGATTGGTTTCCAGATCTAGCCTCCTGCTAGGATCCCACAGCGTTTCACTTTTATGACAGCAACCCCGCTGGGGAAGGCCGGCTGGCCCTGCCCCAGGGCTCAAGCTGCTTGTTCTAGGAAGCCCCCGAGTGCGTGGGCCCAAGGTGCTTGACGTGACTAGCTGGATGTGACTCTAGCCCAACACTGGTGTGTGTGGCTAGGCTTCTGACGACACCATGTCGTGGCCACTGCTCAGGGGTGCTGTACGCAGCACCCCTGCGGCTGTTTTATGCAAGTCCTAGGTAGGGAAGTAATGCAAAGCGAGTGCTCTTAATATAGTTAAAAGCAAGAAATGAACACAGGTGGAAGCCCGGCACAGGGATAGCACCTGGCCCCCGTCGAGCGGCCTCTGCTCCTCCCCTGGCACCTGAAGTCAAGATCTTGCACTGAGCCTCAGAGAAGCAAACACTGATCTTAGGGGACTGGGGGCTTCAAAGCCCAGGTCTGTGCGCAACACCACAGGCTCCCTCCTCCAGGCGCTGAGGACGAGGTTCTGTGGGCGAGCTCCCATCTGCACTCCTACTCACTTGCCTGAGAGCAGAACGTATCTGTGGTTTCTAAAAAGTACAACTCACATTTAGCACTATGTACAGTTCTCGTACATTTACCTAAAATGCTCTTAAAACATTTCTGGAACTCAATCAGCAAATCTCTACACTGTCCATTTTGCCAAACTCCTCTCTTTTTAAAACCACAAAATGTCTCTGAGTTCAAGCTTCTATCCCTCTTGCTGGTTTCCTTCTGCGCTCTTGTGAATTTTTCCCACATACTAGTTCTGTGAACACCAAGCGTGGAGTTGGCGGGCGCAACACCTTCAGCACTGCCGTCTGCTGGACTCTTTGAGCTGCTCTCCTTGCCAGCTCTGTGCTTCTGTCCCGACCCCACCAGAGAGAGAGACGAGGTCGCCTTCCTAGCACCAGGTGTGGGGGAAGGCACTGCTGTGCTCCAGTCTCCTGGGTCTCCCTAGCACTGCAGGAAGTGGCTGCAGGTCTGGGAATCTTGCGTAGCCAGCAAGGTGAGAAGGCGTGAGCTTCAAGCTGGGACAGGAAGCGACTGAAGGGGTAAAAGGCAGGGCTCACCAGGAACAGTGCAGCTCAGCACGGCTGGTAATACACAGAGGGCTAGGTGGAGCCCCTGGGCGGCTGAGGCAGGAGGCTTGCGCCAGCCCTCGAGTGTAGAGTCAGCCTGGGGAAGCTGAGATCTGGCTAGAGGACCAGAAGCAGCTGATCACTGAGCACACAACCCTGAGGCCCTGGGTCTCACTGGGCTGACACACAACAGGCAGGATCCAGTCTTGGCTTTAGATTTAGATATCCGCCTGGAAGAGGAACCGGTAGGGTGTTTGATACAAAAGCAAGGTGAGTTCAAGGGCATTTCAGTAACTCATGAAAAAGCAGGGAGGAGGGCTGGCCAGATAGCTCAGCGGATTAAAGCACCTTCTTAGCCAGATGCAGGGACCAGGGTTTGATCACTGGCCTGCTGTGCCCGCCCCACCCCCATGGTGTGCTGAGACAGGCAGCTGAGACTGGGTGTGGTGGCATACACCTGTCATCCCAGTGCTTGGGAGGCTGAAAACGGGAGGATCACTAGGAGTCCAATCAGTGTACTGAGACCCTGTAGACCTTGTACTAATTAAAAAAAAAAAAAAGCAGGGAGGGATTTACATTAGAGCAGAGGCCAGCGTAGGTGCAGGCCACTCTGAGCAGCAGTGGGTGGCAGTGGGAGGAGGGGACGAAACAAACCTGGGCAGGTGGGCAGCAGCAGAGGCCAAGCAGACCCAGGAAGTGCTCAGCTGCAAAGGACTGGATAGTGGGGCAGATCCATAAGGGTGGTTTGAGTAGAAAAAGGCAGTGGATTAAGAACCTAAACCCGAGAGAAAGAGACGCAAGTGTAGGAAGTCGTGCGCACACAGGGGTCCATCCGTGGCCCAGGGCTGAATTTCATAGGAAGGGAAGCTTTCCTCCCACCTTTAGAGGTTGCTGCCTCCCTTCTTAATGCAAGTGGTCGTTTTGAAGTTCATTCTTGTGTTCTAGCTCTTCTCTGTGGGGCACACTGGGGGGCTCACCCAGACTTCAGGCCACTGTGGTACGACTGCCTGCCTGAGTGTCGCTGTGCAGGCCTCTCTGGCCTGCAGCCCACACGCACAGCGACACTCGGGGCCTATCACTGCCCACTTGGGGTTATGAATATCACTAGACAACTCTCTTCAGTAACTGCTCAGTCAGGGAGCCCCAGAGGATCCGGGCCGCGGCCAAGCACGTCGGGCAGTAGAATCCCCCTCCCGGGGCTCTCAGTCCTCCTGGGCTGGCCTGAGGTCCAAACACCCTGCGGTCTTTAGGCCAGCGTAACTCGCACAGCACTGTGCCGGGATGGGCTGCATGTAACTGCAGTTTCTCTTGAGGCCATGTACAGCAACAAAGCCAGCCCTTCTCATAGCAAATACTTTGTACAGCCCCCTTTATTATAAAATTTATAAATAGCATAACTTACATACAGAACTTTTCACAAAGCAATGCAACCCCCAGATGTACTACTTAAACGTAACATGTAGTAATACATATTTCAGCACATAAATTTGGAGCACCAGATTAGAAAATATAGTGGCATAGGGGACAGCTCCACACACAGAGGACAGACAGATGTGCTGTTTGGGGAATCAAGTTCCGTAAGTTATATCGTTTCCCGAAAAGTACACCATTTCTTTGTAAAGACAAAGTACCCAATTCCTGCTGTAATCCTCAGAAAGTACAATCTTCCTTCTGTGTTTACAGGAAGTTAGATTCCTAAAAAGTTCATATAGTAAGAGCTACATGCAACACACTGTCTTTTATGGATAGAACTCAATTCTCAGCGTATTTAATTAAAACTAGATCTCACACCTACGTGCATGTCCAGCAGGGCCTTCAGAGGTCACGAGGAACCAGGCTGCCGCTCCCCAGGTCGAGGACAGCCCACCCGCCACCCGCCCCTTGACTGCACATGCCAATCAGAGATGCGCTGTGCTTCCAAAGCGCCCGTGGACAGCACCAGGGTGTGTACTAGCCTTGCCTCTCCATGGATTCTAGTCAAGGGCGATGCTGTATTTGATTAAATGTAACAAACATCATACCCAGCACTAGAAAATGTTCAAGATAAATCCCAAAGGTTTATTGCACCAAATGCCACAGAAAATGGATCAAAATAATACATGAACAAGTTTTAAGAAAAAAATTTCCATACATTGATGTCGGTATCTATTCAACTGATCAAAACTAAGACCCTCTCAGTTTCTCTTAATGAAGCTTTAATAGTAACGTATCCCAGAATTTTCTGCTTCCACCCATCTCTTAAAATTTAAGCATATTTTAATCTCACTTCCCAAGTAGATGGTTCACCAAAGTTTGACATTTAAAAATTACCATTTAGAGTGGGCTGTTTTATTTAGGCAAAATTATATTAAAATATCTTCTTCCCAAGCACAACAACAAAAAAGGTTTGCATTAACTAAGAGAAGCTCAAGACTTCCCCAATTTAATGGCTAAAGTGTGCACAAACAAAATGCGCCCCACACTACATTCCTAGTGGAAAAACCCCATTAAAAAATTGGGATATCACTTTATATTCCTTATGTACAACCAACTTTAGAGAAGAACCTAGAAAACCTACAGACTTTTTTTTTTAATAAAATCTGAGGACCTAGTTACAAGAGCCCAGACGACAGGTTAGTACCCTTTAGCAAGCGGAGAATTTCCTCCCTCCAGAAAAGTCAATTCTGAAAAACATGGTTAAGTTTAAAAAGTTGCAATGTGTAAACAGCAGCTCCATGGGATGTGAAAAGATTAGAGTTAGCTTTCATTAAAAAACAGCAATTTCAGAAAAATGGACTGAAGCCTGTACAAAAAGCTATTCAACACTGATAAAAATAAAATACTTTGGAATTATGCACAAGTATGGAAGCTACATTTTAAATTGTCATTGTCATGTTTAAAATGCAGTTACCTTTACATTCATAGCACGCCATCAATTTGTTAAAAATAAAACTGCACCACGCTAGGAAGAGGCCCACCCCAGCGCTGCAGGGAGGTCCCGCCACGCCTCCCCAGCTTGCTCAGAGGCGCAGGCTGCTGCGCAGATGCGCTCAACAGGGAAGACTCAATCCTTAAAGAAACCAAGAGGTCGAATCCTGTCTCCTGAGGTAGATTTCTGTACTTTTTTTGATTTTTATTTTTTCTTGGGGTAGGTGTAGGAGAGGGCAGGGTTCATACCTGGCCTTGGGGTATGGGGAAGCTGGGTTTTTGAGCTCACTGTGGGAAGAGGTTGAATTTAAAACAAAGAAAGTGTGAACAGGAGGTCCCCAGCACTGACTTGGACCCTGCCCCCAGGCCAGCCCACGTGACCCCACCCTGCCTGGGCCCACAGTGCCAGTGGGCTTCTCCCTGAGGGAGCTGGCCATGCAGGACTGTGAGGCAAACTTCGTGCGGCAGCGGGCTGGGCAGACTGGTCACTGTTCAGGACCCCAGATGGCGTGAGTTTTCAACACACTCCTAGACACACAGCAGAGCCGGGGGAGGTGAGGCAAGGTGCCCCTGGTGTAAACAGAGTGAGCCAGGATGAGGGGAGGGCTGCAGGATGGAAATCTGGGCCTCGGCTGCATGGTTTATTGCACACAGAGAAGCGAAAGCTGGCTGGGAAGAGCCAGGAGGATGCGCTTTCCTTCCAAGACATAACAGCGGCTATGGAAAAGGGAACATTTTGCTTTTGTGAAAGAAATCAAGTGAAAAATCTCACAACTGTGAAGCACCCCTGCCTTCCTGTCATACATCCAAGGGGCATCCAGTCCTAAGCAGGGCCGCAGGCTCTCAAACACCACTCGCTTGCATTTGTAGAAGGAGAGAGACAGACTTTGGTTGCACAATCCTACGGTTAGGACAGTCTCATCAAGTGTCAGCTCTGAAGTCTTCCCAGCTCGCTGGAAGAGGCGCCTCCCATCCCTGGCTCAGCTCCCACCTTCGCCGCTCACTTCCAAGGCTTTCACTCTGGACATAAGGACTTGGTCTGTTTCACCATCAGCAAGCTCAGTTTCTTTTATACTAACAGAAAATTGAGGGTTTTTAAAAAGTGAATTGGAGTGATAATTCTTCACTTTGGTAAGTTTTCTATGATGGTCAAGTGAATTTCTAGAAAGATGTTAACTGCAGTCCTTACCACACTGCTGCAGACAACTGTGCCCCTTAGGCAGACGCAGCCATGACAGGAGGGAGGGCTGTGTGGGAGGAACTCGGCGAACTCCAGCACACAGATACACCTTTGGTGAGCGGCTCCCCTGCAGAGGCTGTGCACCCCACACGCAAACAGATGCGACTGTCGGCCCGCGCTCTGCGGCTGCTACGCCCACGCCTGCGGGCGGAGGCTGCCAGGCGGGCTCTTCGGTCTATGCACCAGCAGTGCACCACTGACCTCCCTGCACTGCGTGTGGAGCCAGGTCAACTCTGAGGGTCCCGGCATGACGTTCCCTTCGCACCTTGGTCAGCAGCAGCCGCTGCAGCCACTGACCTACACCTGCTGCCAGGCTTTCTTCGTCCCGCCTGTGGACCCGGAACCCAAGCCCGTCCGGCTGGCTCACTACGCTGCACGCTGCTCTTCCAGTGAGCAGCGTTCACGCTTGGATGCAGACACTTCCCACTGGACGGTCACGAGGTGTCCAGCCTGCCCAGGCCCTCGTGTGGTGCTGCGCTCCCTCCACCAGCAGGTCCACTCTGCTGACTCACAGGTAACCAAAGGCAGTGGAGACTCTGGGAAGTGCCAGTCACCACTGTGGCGAGTAACCCAGGCCTTCCAATGGGAAGCAGTGGTGCCAGGTGTGGGCAACGGCTGCGGCAGCCGCTCCCCTCTGCTTTGCTGCGGGGAGCTCCTTTCTCCTTCAGCGAACCATCTGCTTTCCTTCTTCCCAGGAAGAGCTGTCCTGAGCACTGGCCTACAGGAGTATCTGAGCCACACAAGGTGAGTGCGTGCTGGCAATAGCAGTCAGCAGAGGCAGGTCATTGGATTCAATCCTGTGTATTGAAAACAAAAGAAAATTACCTTTTAAAATAGCCTGACTTTGCCAGAAAGTATTATTTCTTGGAACCAAGCTTGCTACATCACTGTTTTAAACTCAAATAATTGGCACCCCAGTACTCAGGAAGCTGAGGCAGGAGGACTGCCATGAGTTTTGAGGCCAGCCTGAGTTACATAAGCAAGTTCAAGGCCGACCTGCACTATATGAAATCCTGTCTCAAAAAAAAATGCTACAGGATAGCCCAATGCAGTACGGTGACAGCACATGCAAGGCCCTGGGACCGATCTGCAGCATCATAAAAACTGGACGGTTGAGTCAGGAGGATCACAAGTTGAGCCCAGCCTGGGCAGCTTACCAAGTCCTTCTTTCAAAATAAAAAGGGGTCTCGAGATGTAGCTCAATGCAGACGTCCTGGGTTCAATCCCGACTACTGAAGAAAACCAAACCAACCCAAGGACAAGACGGTGAAATACCCATAGATGCCACAGAGGCTGGGACCTGCTGTTCTGTGTTGCTGAGCTCCCTGTGTGACAGCGGCAAGCTTGCTGCAGAGCTGCCCCTTCCTCTGCCTTCCCAGCAGCACCCTGGAGCCATGCTGGCTTTGGGCCACATCCAACCTGGTCTGAGGCCGCATGTGCCCCAAGCCTCCAGCATCTGTCCCAGCAGGTTCCAAAACTCAGCCCCTCATGCATTACAAGACAGCTGTAGAGGGGCACCTTTGGCTGCCTCTCTTAAAAGCGGAGAGAGATGGGGCACGTGTCTGGCCAGACGTGGCCAGGCACAGGTGTGGGGGAAGAGCCACGCTATTTCAGTAGGTGCAATAGGTCCTGTCTTGTCCTTTAAGTCCCAAATTAAAACGAAGCAGAAGCTGGCATTTACGTGGTGAGTTTTCTACCCAGTCATGCTGCCACCAGAGCTAGCTCGGCAGGCACAACACCCAGCAGGTCTATGGGCACCACGCCTGCACAGTGGACCAAGTCCTGGAGCCCAGCCCTGGGGGCAGAGGGGCCCAACAAGCCCACCGTGAGACAGAGTGCCGGGGCACAAAGACCACATCACGAGAAGAAGCCTCCAGAGAAGGGTTATGGGGCAGGCAAACAAAGAGGAACCAGGGGGAAAACAACAGACCCCCCTGGATGTTAACTGCAAAACAAATGCCTCAAAAAGGGAAGAATCTGACTAAATGAAGTACATAAGAAAAATATGCCAGGAAATGTTAGGAGCCAAATAAGACCTGTATCTGAGGTGGGACAGAAGCCATGTCTGAGGGGGATGCACAAGGCCAATAAAAATCAGTTCCACAGGCTTGATGAACTGCAGAGGGGGCACTGTCACACCTGTGACAGCAGCAGTGCCCAGAGACACCATCTCTTGTTGCTCTTCTCTGTGGATAAACGAAGCTGACAAGACAGGCTTTCTCTTGCAGAGATCAGGGTGCCGCCCTCCTGAAGGGAGGGTAAGGGGCACCCCGCGTCCCATCCCATGGGACAGCAGGCAGGCACAGTGGTGGGGCTGTGGCACCTCCTGAAGGGAGGGCAGGGGGTACCACGCATCCCAGCCCGTGGGACAGCAGGCGGGCACAGTGGAGGGGCTGTGGCACCTCCTCCTCCAGGAAACTGAGAGGTAAACACAAGCTGCCTGGGCCCGGGTGACAGACTGCAACTTTGGCACCACACCAAGTGATGAGGCTAGGACAGACAGAGCAGGATTAAATGTTCCTTGTCAAGTTTGACAAAGTCAGGGAGAGGCTTGACACGAGGTACCACCAGCCCAGAGTTCTGCCCATACACAGGCACGAGGCACAAGGCTCACGCTCCTCCATGGAGCTGCACATGCCCAGGCCCGGCGTGCAGCACAGCCAGCCGGCAGGGCAGGGCCTCACGACACTCACCCCAGCACGACGCCCAGCTCCTTCACGTGCACACGTGCGTGTCCCCGGAGGTACTCGGACAGCATCTTACTCTTCAAGTACAGCTCCTGCAGCCTGTCCTCTAGATGCATGATGCACTGAAAGCCAACCAGAGCCAGTAAGCACAGAGCTTGGGCACCTTCCTGGTCTCAGAGCAAGAGCCCCCGGGGCACTTCCACGGACACGGCTGTAAACGCGTGCCTTGCAAGCACTGCAGAAACTGTAAGCAGCCTGCGCCTCCCCACTGCAGGTATAAGAGGCTCTGGGTAACAGCTGTTAAGATGTGCATATCATGTCATTCTACTGTACAGAAGATATTCTACAGCTGAAATCATTCTATACACACAAAAATTTCCCTGCTTTAAAAAATTTTCTAATATTTTCCCTGTCAATTCATCTGTATTGACATAACTCTATGGCTAAATAAGTTTTGAGAATGTGAATTTACCATTATTTACTTAACCACACAGATATTTGCATTTTTGTTACAAGTAATTTTAGGATAAAAAAAAATCTCTTTTTGAGACACTGCCTATGTAGTCCAGGCTGGCCCCAAGCTCATGCGGATCCCTCCTGCCTCAGCCTGCCAACTGCTGGGATTACAGGCATGTGCCACCACACCCAGCTAGGAAAGAATCCTTGTCATTACTTCCTCGCTATATCTCAGACTGTGCGCAGCGCATTCACAGCGTTACTGCAGTCGGTCATTCTGAGCTTTCCTTTTGCTTTTGAGAGTGTACTTTAAGTAGGCCTTTCACAGCAGCACACAACAAGCCATCACTTCCAGAACATCTTTAGCCTTGGAGCTGTGTCCAACACCCATCCTCACAGAACAGCAACCGTCTGTGTCTTTAGCAGAGGCAGATCTTGGCACCTGCAGACAGTGCCACCCCAGCGACTTGGTCAGACACCTGATGGCTTTGGCAAGGCCGACTCCATGGCATGTAGTTCTTTCTAGACCGTTAGTCTTGTTATTTTCAGGGTAAAAATACTATCATCTGGGCTGATCTGGGCTGATCACTGATGTGATCTCCTCAGTTTCTCCCCGGCTCAAACTGTCCCTACCCTGTGTCCAGACAGGCACAGCTGCCTGCAAGTGGGCGGTGACCAGGCTGCAGGACATGGCCAGCCCCCTCGGAAGCGCTCTCCCAAGGAAGCTGAGCCATGGCGCACCTCATCCTGTCACGTTTCAGTTCTTCATGGTGATGGAGTTTTTAATAAAGTGTGGTGAAATATTGAAAAGAACATTCACATTATACTAGATCTCTTGTATCTCCAAACGACTGTCAGTGTTTGCACTCACAGTGTGCACTCACAGTGTGCACAACATGTGGAAACACGGAACCCTGGTGTGGAGGCGTGCACCCAGCGGGGTAACAGGCACACAGAGACGTTTCGGAAGGGGCTCGGGGTCTCCCAGTACAACTCTGCTGGGTTCTGCCCCACTCCTGTTCTGGCTCTTACTCCTAAGACGGATTTGCTCCAATTAACTTCTACATCTTTAATAGCTATTTTCTCCTGTTGCACTCCAGGTCCTGCAAATGCATGGTTTATTCCAGCGATATCCATAGAGGTTTTAAGCTGCAGATGAATTTTCCTTGATCTTGGTTTTCTCGTGTTAAAGAAGTCATTTGTGGTATTAAGTAGCTAAACACATTCAAACAAAGCAAAAAGAGTTGGCTCTAACAGTTTTACCTTTGACAACAAAGGTAAGGGTGGAATGCAACATGAGCTATATATTACAGAATGAAGTATAGAAGTGTGGCAAATACTTCTCATCATAAAAACTAGGAAGCCTAATTAACTTCCTTCCCTTACAGAAAAGGAGACTCCAAGCTCCACGTCAGCCAGGCCCAGCCTGCTTCTAGCAGAGGACCGGCCACGCAGTTCGCATCAGCAAGTGCCTTCACGGAGCCGGAGCAGGCTTCCTGCAGGCGCACACTCGTGTGAAGTGCGAGTAAAGGCTTCGGGGAAAACGCCTGGTGGTTTATAAGACCTGTAATGCTGTTTGTTCACATTAGTTGCTTACTGACAAACCCAGAATAGCTGTTTACTGAGGGACTATAAAGTCTAGCACTCCTCCACCAATGCTTCATGTGAACTGCCTGATTTTCAAAGGCTCCTGAGACAGATTCTTTTCTTTCTCTGTATCTGCAGAGGTGAGACAAGTTCCTGAGTGGTAGTCCTTGCATGTAACTCCAAAGCATGTGTACTAGCCACTAATGTATACATACTGTCTTTTTAAGTATCCCATGTGACCAGGTGTGGCGGCGCACTCTTGTAATCCCAGCACATAGGAGGCTGAGGCAGGGGGATCACCATGACTTTGAGGCCAGCCTGGGCTACATAAGCAAGTTCAAGGGCAGCCCGAACTGCATGGTAAGGCCCTGTCTCAAAAGGACAGATACTCAGACACTCAGGAGTATCCACCATCACTCAGTAGTAAGGGCAAAGCAGCCTGAACCTAGCTATGTGCAGGGCTGTCTGCCGCTGCTCCTCCAACAGCCACCACTCATTTTCCTCAGGGCAGTACCACCCTCCACTGTGTGGAGCGAAAGGGGCCCCACTGTAGATCTGGACACAAGCAGCAGAGGTGAGCCATCATCACGCGCCAACCGCTGCGCTTTGCTCCTCAAGTCCTGCAGTGCTGTAAAGAGCAGGAGGGCAGAGGGGTGGGTTAGGAGCTCAGCAAGCGGCCATGCATTGGGGGAAGAGCGTAGTTGGCAGCCTGCTCACTTGGGCGTCCACTAAGGCCCTGCAGCCCCTTCCCCGCTGAGGCTACGCCCCTTGGCTGACAGAGCTCCTTGCAGTCTCTGCACGCCCCCACACAGGCACACATGGACAGGAACGTGCTGTCTGCCTTGGCTGGGGGAGCTGCTGACCTGGGACTTTCTAGGCTCTGCTCTGCTGCTGCCTGCAAGCTGTGCACAAGTCTCACAATTCCAGCTGAAAGGAACAACTGCTAGCACCTCACATGTGGACAGCACCTCAAAAGCTAACGTGCTCCCCACTGTCTTCTGAGGATGTCCGAGAGCAGGAACGGGCCCGCCTAGCAGTTATCTGACGTGTTCTCTACTGAGGGCTGTAGGTCTGCGAGGAGGCTCCCCTCGCCCTGGCCCTCAGTTACTTTATCAGGTGCTTGTGTAGAAAGACCCCAGTGCACTCTGTGCTACTTGTTTCAGAGAAGGCTACTATGACCAAAATCCTGCCTGCTGGTCTCATGCTGTGTGTTCCATTTTCACTTAATGTTGACCTTCAATCTTATTAGAAACAACACGTCTCAATCCTTGAATTTTATTGAAATGCTGTTGAAAGAATATTTGGCATTTCTGCAGTCATTTGGGAACAAATACTTACAAAATCGGCAGGGAGGTGAAGCTTGTAAAGCTGCAGAATAGACTGGAGCAGACTGCACACCTGACTGGAGACCAGGACGTCCTGACCCAGCCTTACGCCGTCCACCACCTTCCTCTGACTTGTGGCCAGCTGGACGCTCCACCTGTCAGTGTCTGCGACAATGCACACAGCTTCGGCTATGGGCTCATCAAGCACTGGGTGCTGAAAGAACACAGGAGGTCAATGCTCCGCACGCTTCCCGTGACCACGTGTGCAGACTGTCCTGCATGCAAACTTCCAAAGCTTATGGGGCAAATACAAAAACTGAGGGCTTTACAGGGACTCAGTAGCATTTTCTTTTTTTTTTTTTCGGAACCGGGGATTGAACTCAGGCCCTTGCGCTTGCCAGAGAAGCGCTTATTCCACTGAGCCATCTCCCCAACCCCTATAGTTTTGTTGTTTTGTTTTTTTTTTTCTGGAACCGGGGATTGAACTCAGGCCTTTACGCTTGCCATGGAAGCACTTATTCCACTGAGCCATCTCCCTGGCCCCTTTACAGAGACTCAGACAGGAGTGTTGCTGAACCATCACTGAAGCGAAAGTGCACAGAAGTGCTACTTTCTTCTTACAACCAGGAGGTGCACAGTAGGTGCTAAGTGTGCACAGGTATACGCCCTCACTAACTGCAGGATGTCAAAACTCCCTTTTTCTTTCTTTTTATTTTTTTATAATTTTATTTATTTATTTATTTATTGGCAGAACCAGGGATTGAACTCAGGCCCTTACGCCAGACAAGGACTTATTCTACTGAGCTACCTCCCCGGCCCCAAAACTCCCTTTTTCTTGAACAGCTACATTCTCCCTTTAATGGGAAAAATAAAGTATAGGATTCCATGACCTTTTCTCCAATAGCCAGATTGGCAAGCATGACTAAAGAATCTCTTAAACTACAGCTTTAACTGGTAAGCAAAATTTATTAACTAGGTGTGCCATTCATGCTTCAAATAACCCTAAACACCACAAGAATCAGACTGAGGGCTGACTTTTACACATGAAGCCAGAGTCAAATGACCACTAATAACACATTAAAATGTAAAGCTCCCAGTAACAAACTGTGCCCTCTGGCAAACGGAGTGAACATGGGGCACGCCTCAGAGGCCCTTCCAGAGACCGCACTATGTAACTGCTCCCCCAGACCTGCTGGCCCACCACCAGTGCCCTGGGAGCACAGAGGTCAGGGTTCCAACAAGAGGACTCGACTCTTCCAGGCCCAAACTAGAGCAAGGGTGGATGTGACAGAAACAGCAGCCATCCCGAGACAGGCCCACCAGCTGCGCATTTGCTTGCTGCTCACAGCCTCATTTCTCAAAGGAAAACTAATACGGCCTTAATTCCTTCTAGCACCCAGAGCTGGCAAGAGTTGCCTTTGTGTGCTCAGCATAACTTTCTCCCCTGGGGCACTCTGATTTCCTTCTGGACTTGCGTTTTCTGAAGACCTGCTGGCCTGTAGGAAGGGTCGACCCTCATCTACAGAGCGGGTCTAGGAACTCAGCCGCATCCATACAGAGCTCCTGCCAGCCCTGCAGTGGGCAGGCCCAGTGGGTCGAGTGGCCGGCAGGTGGTACAAGCCATGGGGCGGCCTGGCTTCCAGGGTTTGGTCCAGAGCTGCCTGTTCACTGTCATTCCAACTCCTTTGCTCTGCTCCCATCAATTCTATAAATTCTGCATACCCTTCCAATAAAGTCAGTTCTGTCAGCTACCATTAGGAACAATTGGCTTCTGCTCATTACAACAAACAACCCAAATGGATAAACAACTTGTGATATCACACAGTATCTAACACAAGTGGTTGGAAAGCTGCAAAGAGAAATCAAAGATGCACTGGGAGCTTTAACCTATGCTATTTTCAAGGGGGAAATTTTCAGGATTTACAGCTTTTCCATGGAAAGGAATAGCAATTAGGCGAAATCTAGCCGATGCTCCAACATTTGTTTAAACATATATTCAAATACTAAACATGAAAATGAAGGAATTTAAAAACACTTTTGAATTAATGAGGCTCCATTTTCCAAGAGCTTACTACTATATAGATTAACAGACTAGTACAGGGTTTCTGAGATATGACCTGCTCATCCTGATCTTCACACACATGCACACAGGGGACACCAGCAGACAGAGACTCCAGCAGCAGGTACCTTAGTGACAACTCCAGGGCCCTGGGCCCAGGCTGCCCACACTGCCCAGACCTGGGCTTTGAGGGTAACAGCAGAGGCAGAAGTTCCAGACACACTAGAGACCTTTCTGAGTCTTTCCAAAGGATAGCCAACCCCATCAGAGACCAGCAAGATTCAAGGATGTCTGCAAGTCAGAACACCACACCTGGCCTGTCACAGAAACACCCACCTGCACATGTCCACGCCCCCATAATGAATTCACAAGCTCTCACAAAAAGTTCGGTATTTAATGCATGCATAGAACCACAACACACAGAAGAAAGCTGAATTATGTATATGCTTCTAAGTACTTCTCCCTAACCAGTCCTCCCTCCTGGTTCCCCCTGAGTCTAAGGAGCCCAGCCTAGCCAGTCCTCCCTCCTGGTTCCCCCTGAGTCTCAGGAGCCCAGCCTAGCCAGTCCTCCCTCCTGGTTCC